CTTCCATAACAGCCCGAGTTTTAAAACTCCAAGAGGACAGATTCTGGTGTTTTCATTTCCATAAAATGCTCCAACAAGGCAACCCTATTTATTGCTATTTTCCAGAATATCCAGCAGAGTGTGGAAGTTGTGTTAATTGGTCAGAATAAAGTAATAACTCAAATCAAAATTTTGGGTGAGACTATGACTCCACAAGGGATCACTTGGAGGTTTCTGCTTCCAGGAATGCTGAACAGGCTCCTGCCAGACCCAATCCTCCTACAGGTGGTAACTACAAACTCTGGGGAAAAATACCAAAAAAACAAGTACCTGAAAGTACTAGACAGTGAATGGCAGTGACAAATTATAGAGGGGAGCTGAAATTTAGGAAGGAATTACCAACATGGGGATAACATTATTGCTTTTACCCTGAGAGTAGGCCAGAGTGGACACCATGCAGAGCAGCTTAAACTCACATATGATACCGAAGTCTTTCTAGTCTGAAGAATAAGAGGGAAAAGTTTGGGGCAACCACAGCCCCTGGGAAGAAAGTAGGTTCCAGAAAGGAGTGAGCCAAACAGGAGGAGCTCCAACTGGATATAAATTACCCAGTCTCTGGCCCACACCAAAACCATGCATGCTTGGTACTATTTGAGCAGACCAGCTGAAGTCTAAATTAATTGCCTACTAAAACTAAAATATCAACACTTTCAGAGAAACAAAACAAAATCCAAAGTCTCCACAACATAACATTCACAATATAAAGTTGTTTGAAGTATAAAGAACCAGAAAAGCCGTAACCGGTTTGGCTCAGTGGATAGAGCATCAGCCTGCAAACTGAAAGGTCCCAGGTTCGATTCCGGTCAAGGGCATGTACCTTGGTTGTGGGCACATCCCCAGTGGGAGGTGTGCAGGAGGCAGCTGATCGATGTTTCTCTCTCATCGATGTTTCTAACTCTCTATCTCTCTCCCTTCCTCTCTGTAAAAAATCAATAAAATATTTTTTTTTTTAAAAAAACAGAAAAACATGACCCAGTCCTCAAGAAAAAAAATCAATTAAAACAAATCCCCAAATAACTCATATGTTTGAATTACTTGTTATAGTAGACAAAGATGTTAAAGTAGTTATCATTATTTATACTCAATGAAGTAAAGTATACTCAGAATGGGAAAAAGACAGGAAATCTCAGCAGAAAAACAGAAACTATTATTTTAAAAACATGGAAATGTGGGAACTACAAAATACAGTATTTGAAATTTAAATCTACTGGACTATCTTACCTGATGAGATTAACAGTGGACACAAAAATCTGTGCCCTGGATGATGGATTAATAGAAATTATCAAAACTAAAAAAGAGAAAAAAAGTATTTTAAAGAAATGAATAGAACCACTGAGAATTGTGGAACAATATAAAATGTCTAATATACATATAATGAAGCCCCCAAAGGAGAAGAGGGAAAGAATGGGGCAGGAAAAAAATATCTAAATAAATAATAAAATTTCAACAAAAAATGATGAGAAACATAAATGGACAAATTCAAGCTTAGTGAACCCCAATCTGAATAAAAATCAAAGAAAACTATGCTAAGGTACATCACACTCACACTGTTAAAAACCAAATACAAGAAAAAAAAATCTTGAAAGCAACCAGAGAAAAACAACACATTATATAGAAAAACAAAAATCTGAAACACTACTTATATAGCATCAGAAACAATGGTGGCCTAGAAACAGTGGAATATCTTTATTTTTTAAAAAGGTGCATGAAAGTGGTGATCCCCAGATATTAAGGGTTTTTTATGTGTGTTTTTCAAGACTAGCCTTCAAAACCTTGGCACAATACTACTCTCCATTTGACTTCCATCAAGTTTTCTTTGTTGTTACTCTCCAGGAGCTAGGAATCTGATTCAACTCTTTACAAAATAGGCAAGAGACAGAGAAAGAGCAGTCACCCACCATTACCACCTCTGCTCAGAAGCCCCACACCATTCACATGAAAGATCTACTTCAACTGGTGACACTTACCCCATCTCTCTGGGTGGAATTCTGTCACCTTGCCCAGGCCCTATCCCATTTGAACTGAAATTGTCTTTACATAAAGCATTTGGGGCAGGAGGGACCAGGAATGGTGTCCATGAATAACATATTTACTCCAAGCCAGATCTGACTTACTTCCCCCTTTGTTATGTAAATAATAGGAAAGAATGAAGAATTTTAATATATAAATCCCAGTAGGTACCCCTAAGACAATCTCCCTCTACTCAAACACCTAGAGCTCAATAAATTTATTGCCAACAAATATCTAGCTTTTGTCCCAAGTGCTTAGATGGGAATCTGAGCATAAGAGAAGCACAAATTGTTCAGCATTTTCTGAAATGGCATGTGGGTTCCTGGGTTGATTCATGCAGCCAATATGCTCATTTTAAATCATTTTCCCTGAAAGACTGAAATATGAGAGGCTGCCTGGGAACCACCCGCTGCTAATTTTAAAGAAGACCTGCTAACTATAATGTAATGGATAGGGTACATCTGCGCCTCAGGTAGAAAAACCACTCTGAGATGCCTCATAACAGAACCTTTTTTCCACAGGAGAGAATGCTGCAAGTCTCTCTTAACCCTAATACCTGGGTAGTGCTGGCTCTATTCCCAAGAGGTCAGCAAGTCAAATGCTGCCCCAAAACCCCACTCTCTTTAATACAAAGCATAGACAAAACGTTTATGGAATGGAGTGAAAATTCTCTAGTTTGAAACTGTTTTCTTGTTTGAAAACTTTCTTGAGAAAGTTTCTGGCATTTTCCCACTAGGCACTGTATTATTGCAATAAGCTGCCCAGTAATCAAAGAGGACTACTTATTTCCCACCAGAATTAAAAGAAAGGATTAGTTCTGGTAAGTTCCCTGACAAATTTCGGTCATTGTTAACGGGGTGGCATCAGCTTCTCTATATCCCTATCGAATTCAAAGAAAACGCAGGAAAAATGGAAAACAAAAGCTGCTTTATTGTCCTGTTTGAGCAGCATCTACCTTTTACAGAACAATTTTTATTTAATTTCAATGACATTCAAAAAGTTGTAACTGAGAAAGAAAAAAGTGAATGGGTGCAAGTCTATAAAGAAGTCTCCCCATTTATAACACTTTTCTTGATATACAAGATAAATTCTGGGATAAAAAATTTTAATTTCTTTGTTGTTATTCTTTTAGAGAGTGGGAAAGGGAGAGACAGAGAGAGAGGAAACACTGACGTGAGAGAGACACATCAATTGGTTGTCTCGTGCACGTGCTCTGACAGGGCCCAGGCTAGGGAGAAGCCTGCAACTGAGGTACGTGCCCTTGACTGGAATCAAACCCGGGACCCTTCAGTCCACAGGCTGATGCTCTATCCACTGAGCCAAATCGGCTAGGGTGAAATAAAAAATTTTTAGAACCCTATGCAGTCTTGAATAGCCTCGGATTATAAAATCAATTAAAATACGAGAAACTATTAGCAGCAGTAGTAAGCAAGTAGCAGCAGTAGTACTAGTAAGAGAGAAAACTTAGAAGATTTGTACAGAAGAAAGTAGGCAATAACAGCTATGAAACAAAGGGAAATTATAAAGAGGACACAAGAAGCCTTTATTAGTAAAGTGAGTTAAAGCTGTCCAAAATATAGGCAGAATAGCCATACTCCTTCAACATAAAAGAATAAGTAGGAATCAATAATTGGGCATCTTTCTAGACTCTGTACTTGTATTATTTTCTATTCCTCTTTAACCTTAAAGTCAAAGAAGTTAATTAATCAAAGATCACAAAATGACTATTTAATCCCAGGTCTATATAGCACTTCCAAACTCAAACTTTTCTATTATATCATGCTGCTGCTTAGAAAATATTTCACGTAACCAATGGACACAGACACTGGAGCGGTGGGGGGCTTGTCCTGGGGGTGGGAGCGGCGGGGGGGGGGGGGGTCAATCGGGGAAAAAGGAGACATGTAATACTTTAAACAATAAAAAAAAAAAAAAGAACTCGAAAAAAACATATTTCACATGAATTAGTTCTCAATGAAATAAATTTTTTAAAAACTGGTCTGGCCCAAACATTTCCCTGCCAAATTCTTCCTAAAAATTACATTAATTTTCTTACCCGTCTAGCAACACATGCCTGATCAAATCTTCTGCCTGTCTTTACTACCTTTTTTCTTGAAAGCACCTATGCTGCAGAATAAGTAGTTGGACATTTACATGACCTACTCTAAGGCCTCGCATTTAAGAGAAATGGGTAATCTTCTAGATTGTCAAATTTACATCAGAAGGTGGATAAACAAAGTACTCGGAAGTAAAATCCAATCCTGCATATTTGGCTATATTTTTCCTGTAAAATACAGCATCCTAACCATGACAAATAAAATAAAGAATGAGAAAGAACCTACAAGAGACTACGGGAAAGGTTCAGGATTGCCAACTCCCAAATAAACCCTGACTCGTCTTCCAAAAGACTTCTATAATATCCTGATAAATGACACAGGTCTTCCTAAATCCTTTGGGAGGTGACTAAAACTGTAACTTCTGGAGTCAGACATACTAAAGCTCAGCCCCTCCATTACAAATCATGACTTTGAGCAAAATAATTAATCTCTCTAAGCCTCAGCTTCCACAGATATGAAATGAAATAGCAATAAGTTCTATAAATGCTAAATTACATTGCCAAGATCACAAGTGCTTCTTAAAGGTTAGCTTTTCATCATCAATCTCATCGTCTTTGTTATGATATAGAAATCTATGGGGTAACTGAAGGGGTTTCATAAACCTTCATGAGGCCAGTATCAATTTTAGTTTTGGAGAGTCTTAGAAGATTTAAGGAGTAGCAGAGATGGAACTGGCAAGGCCTGAAAAGACTGAAAAAGAAGCAAGTAGAAATATCATGGGGAGGAAAAATCTGTATAGGTTAAAAAGGTGTATATATATTATACATGCATTTAGAAAAGAGATTAGAAGTTAAACACTATCTCATGCAATAAAACAAACTCCTCATTTTCTATTACCATGATGGGGACGCCAATGTCAGGCCACAGAAGGTCTTCTGATGGTAGTTTGGGAGAATTCCACACCACCACTACCTTGTTCAGGTAAGGGAGGCCGTTCAATCTCTCTAAAGAGTTCATAAGCACTTCCTCCCGCTCGTAAGTCAACATCACAACTGTGAACTGCTCCCGTGGAACATTGCCTCCAAGTGCTGCCTGAAACTCCTTGCCAGAACCCCCAGCTCCACCACCAATCGGCCGAAATCCAGTCCCTGAGCCCAAGAATTTGGCCTCTGAGGGTAACACAGGGTCAAAGGGTGTGTGGGGGAAAAGATGGAAAGGCCCTGGAGCAGAGTTCCAGCTGCGGTAGAAGTCAGTGACGGTCAAGGTAAAGTTGCGGAGGTATTTGGGCGAGGCATAAGGCGGCTCAGTTTCTACTGGCCCCAGGTCCAGGTCCCCATTGTCAGCCATGTTGGGGTCTGTTCCAGCCGCCTTGCCTGAACGATGGGGGATCTCAGCTGCTGCCTCTTCCCGGATGGGAGCAGCTGGGATCTGTATTCGAGTCCTAATCATAGCCAGCACGGTACTGAAAATACTGTCAGCGGTTGAGAAGTAAGTCTCCCAGAGAAAGCGGCCTTGCCGCCTCATAGCCAGTAGATCACTATCAGAAAGACTTCGTAACAGGAAGTGAACCTCAGTAACACGTGGCTTGGGCACCACCAGGGCTGCCTCATTCCACTGCAGCATGTCATGGTAAGGAAGCTGGACTTGCTCCCCCAGCACAACTGGGACAGCACCAACTTCCAGAGCTTCGAAGAGCCGTGTTGCACATCCGGATGAAATAACCAAGTGAGGGTCCCCAGGAGTGATAATGAGGGCAAAGGTGGAAAGCTTCAGTAATTCTAAGCGGTCCTCCCGCTCCCCACACAGTGCCCACTCAGTAGGCAGACTGGGTTTAGGCTGGTTTTTGCAGGTAAATTCTACCAGGACCTGATCTAGCTTGCTGTCCTGTACAGCTTTTAGGGTGGCAATGATACGATCATCATAGTCAGCTGGGGGGTCACCTTCCATTTCTTCTTCAAAGGATCGGGCCTCCTGAAGGCTAGATCTTAGTGATTCAATCTTCTCACCCTGGAAGGTGAAGAGATATTTCCGTTTAACTGGCACCTGTGGTGGGATTTCCATGAAGTTGGGCTCTGACATGGCATGGACTAGTGGTGATACTACCAAGTCAAAGCCAGGTCTGTACTGGGCAGCATAGAAAGTGGACTGGGCCACCATGGCACGGCCAGTACTGACATTATATAGTAAGTTCTGTGTATCTGACTTCCGTGATAGATTGATGATGACATGGTTGTGTCCATCTGTCCGCCAATGTGGTAGAGAATACAACTGCTTCTCAAGTTCAGCAGGCCGCAGCACTACTGGCTCCTGCATCTCTCCCACTAATATCACATAGAGGCAGGCAATATCCGCATTTTCTGTAACATAGATGTTGGCTCGTACTGTAGCCTGAAAAGCCTGCTTGACCAAGGGATCCAGGTAGCTGCCAAAGGCAAACTGGTCACTGTCATAAACATAGACTGGAAAACCAGAGGTGAGAGGGCAGCGAGAATAATCAAAACAATTGTGTAGCCGACAACCCCGGATGACCTTCGGGGGAGGAAGGCCAGCATCGTCCTTCTCTGGGAGCAATCGGATGGGCAGAGAAAGTTTGGGCTGATTTTGGGCCATCAGCTCTTTGTAAGAGTGCTCAGTCTGGCTAATGACATTCTTAAGTTGAAGCAGGTCCTGCTTGGCATTCTCAATACTCTTCTTACAGGCTTCAATCTTCAGGTTCAGCTTGGCAATTTCACTGTTCAGCTCTTGCCGCTTGGCTTCCAGCTGCAACAGCTCTTCACTTACAGACTCACGGATTCGGCAAAGATCCAGCACGTGCTTTACCTCGCACAGCTCATTACCAGCCCGTGGACCAAAAATCCTCTTGCCGGCCTCATCAGCCTCATCCAGAGTGGTGAGATAATAGTGAGCAATGAGGGGGAAGAAAACCAGAATGATGAAGAGCGTAAAACTGAGCCATGTGAGTCGGATACGGTTGGACCACCGTAACATACAGGTTTGACCTCCATTCCCCACACCCCCATTCCGCAACATGGTATAGCCTGTCATGAGTTCCTTTGTGGCTCTTGCCCTCTCTGATCACGTTGGGTCACTCGCCATAACCATGAGTTTCTAGTAGACAAAACTCAATCTCTTTTTACTCACACGTTTCCATAAGAGTTAGTGTGCTCCCTGTACAAGGCACCAAATAAAAAGGAAATTTCATTTTCCTCAGCTGTAGTTGAAATGGTCTCTGACTCTATTCCAGCAGATTTTAAGTTCTGGCTGTTGACCAAAGAACATGTCCTTAATCTTTATCAAATGGTAAAAGGTACCACACTGTTGAGATGAAAAGGAGGTCCCTGATGATGAAACCCAGGAAAAATAACCTGGAATCAGACAGACTTTTTCAACAGCCATAGCTCTTGTTCCTTGGTTTGGCTGACCAACAAATATGCATAGTTACTATTCACAGTTATAAAGTAGCTGGTTAGGACAGAAATAAATGCCAGCCTGTTGTCGATGTCATTGCCAACAATCAGGCCTGCAAAAAAAAAAAAGAGAACTGTGTCAGTCTTGAAGAGATTATGTTCAACAACCCTGCCCGCCCTCAGTACACTTCTAGAAAATCCTTAAATCTTTTTACACACAAACATACACCCTTCTTATTTAACTGGATATAGAGCAGCATTAGAGCCCTATAAAATGATGATCTCATTGATGTTTCTATCTCTTTCTCCTCCCTCTCTGAAATCAATAAAAATATTTTTTAAATAAATAAAATGATGATGAACTACATTCAACAGAGGGCCAAGATACTTTCAACATTTTGTTATTCTAGACTTAGAAATCGCCTTTAGTTGAGGAGAAACATCTTCTTATCCAACCATGGGTAGCTATGTTCATTCTTAACATGAAAGTCCCCTTTAGAGCTACTTAAAAAAAAATCTATTAAGAAACTCAGTTTGTTATATTCAGAGATGAAAAGAGTTGAAGAGAACTCCTCTGAGCTTTGCCCAGCAGTAGATGCAGTAATCCTGATACAAAATATATTTCCCAGCTTGCTTCTCTTTTATCATCTGTTAATAGACATCATGTGCTCCTTCTTAAAATATAAATAGTAACTTGGCTTTTAAAAAGAACATTATACTTAGAAATGAGAGGCATTATTTCTTATCCTTTGGAGACAGATTTGCTCAGACCTTATGCCTCAGCTTTCTAATCTCCCAAAATGGAGATAAGTGTATGGAGATAACAATACATTGTGTTGCTATGAAAATAAATGATAGAGGATGTGAGGGTACTTTGGCCTAATAAATCTTGAAACAACATTCCCAATCCTGTTCTCTTACCAAACTTTACTATCACAGGCTACCAAAGCTCTTCATTTAGTTTCACCTCAAACTCAACATATCTAGAACTGAATTCATAATATGCTATGCCAATGAATACTCCCGATTTAATTCACTGATTCCCTCCAGAAAGTGTTTATACCCCATACTCTTAACATGTCTAAAGCATGCTAAGTATAACTATGGGAGATTTTAAAACGTAAAGAATTCCTTGATCTCATAGAACTTCCTTTAACTAAGAGATAAGACAAACAAATAGCAAGGGTACTACTACAAGACAGTATAAAATAGTGCTTCACAGATAATCACTCTTTATAGCTTCTACCTTTGTTCAAGATGTATAACTATTAAGGGTTTGACAGTCTTCTCTCCCTTTAAATAAAAATAAAAGTTGATGACAATATTAAGGCTTGAGGATGTAGAACAAGAGATAAAGACAACAACAACAAAAATATAGATCATGGAAAAGCTAAATCTGGATGATCTAAACTTGGATAATGAACAGCTGACCAAATATCCCAAAGGAGTGGAGGTTAATATTTCTAAAGCATTATCCTTCTCATTCCAATGTTAAAATCTTTTTGTTTTCAAAAGAATATTTTCTGCATTTATGAAGAAATCATAACAAAGACAGAGTGGATTAGAGGAAAAAAGGAAGGCATAATCCAGGCAGTCCAGCTAATTCATTCCCTCCTTACCATATGTTTAGGATCCTTCTTTTCTCTGACTCATATGGCATTATATTTTGGCATATAATTTCTTGATATAGTGAACTCCAGGGCTTGCTGTCCTGATAGAAAGTAAAAAAGTGACATGCTATTAGAAAAATATTCAATACTGAAGGGTCTATTAAAGAATTTATTTACTGTCCACTATGAAGAGGCCTCCCTTATATAAATAAGGTAACCATAGAATTTAAGGTCCAAAGAAAGAGGGACACTCTTTTAAGTGAAAAGGGGCACTAATAATAAACAATCCAGATATATGGTTATCTATTTATATGTTCTAAGAGGAAATAAATCAAAACACTAAAATATAGAAGTATATACCAAGACATTTATAGAGGAAACAATTTATCTGGAATTGGCTTTAAAATAAACAGGATGAGGATGGTGAGAGTGTTTGGAGATATAGATGAAATAAGATTAGTTGTGAACTGTTGTTGACACTAAAATGATGAGGATGCATGAGGGTTTATTATATACTACACTCTCTTTTATATATGTTTGAATATTAAAAGCTCAAAAATACAGGGTCTAAACAAAATGTTTTTTAAAAGTCATTTGGAAACTGACTATACTTAATCTAATAATGCTAGTGCTACCAATTTATATATAAACAGCTGTAAATGAAAACAAATGTTCTAATGGAAACCAATATTTCAACACTGATTCAAAAGAATGTATCCCCTTCAGGTTTTCTCTACTTGACTCTCATCCTTCAGACCTTAACTTTCTTGGCATTCCCATTAAAGTAGCCTTTCTTATGCCCTGACACTATGGAAAGAGTGTTCCATGGCGAGACCACCGCCTGTCCTGCAAGCTGGACCTAGTCCAGAATGGAGGTTGCTTTCCACAAACCCCCAGAGATTGTCTGATGGTAACCGATGTTCATTCTGACATTAATCAGCACCCTTCCCTTGCCTGCTGATATGTGCTGATTCCTGGAATAGGCTGTTGTCCTGACCTAGTCAAGCATGTAAAGTAATTCCTGTGCCTTGTAGCATTATGTACTAGTACCTGTGTTATTCCCCCTGTACCCTATATAATTCTTTGGCACCTGCCAAGCAGTGTGGGGATCCACTGCATCTTGCAGCTGCCCAAGACATGTCTCATATGTAAGTTCCCTTAATAAATTCTATTAATTACTGAAGTGACCAGCCTCTTTCTCCGGACTTTCCCTGCCTTCCATTTACAGAGGTAGATTTTCACTCTCAGGGCTTTGCCCTGGGTCTATATGTACTAAAAGACACTTTCTGGCATTGATCTATTGATTTTCTTTATAGTATCTTTTCATTTATTTATTTGTTACCTACCTTCCCTACCAAAACCTAATCCTTGAGGGCAGGACCTTGTCTGCTTGGATCACCACTGTATCACCAGTACCCAGCACAGTGTCTGGCACACTATAAGTTCTCTTTAAATATCTGTTAAATAAATGAATTATATCACTGATCACTTCTTTCTACAAACTCTCAGTGTTTCCCTTTATTTTCCATAAAACTGAACTTTCTGGTGTTTCACCTATTTCCTTGACTTATTCTCCCATTGTGCTTTGTTGGCACATCATCCTTGCTCTGCTATGTCTATCTAACTGCCTACTACAGTTCCATTTATTCATGCATTCATTTATTGATTCTTCTATGTGCCCTGACCGGGGATGGAACCCGAAACCTTGATATATTAGGATGATGCTCTAACCAACTGCGCTACCCAACCAGGGTTATGTATTTTATATTTTTTACTGGCCCATTCTCTCGGTTCTCCATCCCAATAGCTCTTTCTCTGGTTCGTTCCACCACTCTTTAAATACAGTTGTTCCTTCGTGGGTTTGTCCTTTGCCCTCTTCTTTCTCTGTCTTCACTTACTAGAGCTTGCCAATTAGCTTCAATTAGCCCCCCTAAATGGATAATTCTCAAATTTACCTCTCTAGCCTTGACCTCCCTCATGATATATCTTTTCCAATGGTGAGCAACACAGACATCCACACCTTAATATTCCCATGGCCGCAAAGGTACATCTCCTAGGAGTATAAGGTTTAAGTAGTGTCTTCTCCCAGCAAAGAGGGGAAAAAATTTTCAAAATACTGTACACAGTTAGAAATTTATAATTTAGATCATGGCTGATGCCCTACTCTTCACTCTTTCTCTAATCAAAAATAATGTTTGCTCATAAATGGAAAGTAGAATTATTAATCTGCTAGCCACTCAAGCGCTTAAAATAAGCCTGATCCTGGAAAGGTAAAATGGCAAATAATTCAAATGTCCAAGTGGTGAGCTGAGAAGTCAAGTGAGATAGAGTTGCCATTCAGAAATTCTGCATATACTACATTCTCCCTTCATCTTCTCAACATACCAATGCCCTCTATCATCTCCTCTACTTTGCAGAGCCGTCTCTTCTAACATTCCTTATCACAAAGGCAAATTATTACAGGACCTTACTTTGAAGAGTTTTTTGATATAGCAACCATCCTACTGACTTTTCTTCTCTTAAAACTAAAACACTCTGATATTGAAATTTCCTATAATGGATTTGGGATAGCTCTCTATTTAGGTGTGAATGCCTTTCAACAAAGGTGTATAACTTTTTTCATACAAAAGCAAAACTAAACTAAACTGAATTGAACAAAGGTAAAATAATCCATGGACAAGAGAAGGAAAACAGAAGGGAAGAAATAAAGGAATTGCTGCTTCCATCTGGACTGCTGTTATGCATTGCATCTGAAAGATACAAAGGGAAATGGGGCAAAAGAGAAGCTAGACACTTTCCAGATGTTCCCAAATGCAACCAACTAACTTGAATATTTTAAATAATTATAATAGCTAACATTTACTGAATTTTTAATGTGTGCCAGGTTAAACCTATTATGTACCTTAACATAGTTAATCTTCATAACAATCCTGTGAAGTAGGTACTACTATTATTCCCATTTTGTACATGAAGAAACCAAAGCACAAGCTTAGGTAATTTGTCCAAAGTCATCCACGTTGAGTAAAACTTGAATTCAAATCAAAGCAACGCTAACTCTAAAGCTCTCACGTTCAATGTCTTAGTCATTATGAAAAAAATGCCTATGATACTAACTCAAGGAACACAGTACACAGGCACATCATGCATAAATTACTTTTAGATTATCCACATTACTACTGCTCCACTGAAACCATGGACAATGATGAATTAAAAGCACATGGCAATACTACTCCAAAACCTAAAGCCACCTCTATATTCATAATTAAAGCATTTATGTGGACGAAAAAGTGACCACATACTAAACGTGACTAGCTCAGGGAAGGCCTGATTGGTGGGCCTTACAATCTTGGAAACCAAAAGTTACCATAAAGAATGGTCTGAACATAACAATTCCTAACTAAGTGGGTCATGGCAGGTAGTCACATCATAGGCCTGTAGGTTCCTTCTCAGAGGTCAATCTTTACCTTGTGAGCCTGTCTATTGTCTTTTTGCATCTAACACAATATGCCTTTACTTTTTTCTTTTATTTTTTATTATTATTATTTTAATCTTTATTGTTGAGAGTATTATAGTTGTCCCCTTTTTGCCCCATTGATCAGCCTCCATCCTGTTCCCACTCCACCCCAGTCCTTCACCATCCTACTGTCTATATCCATAGATAATGCATAAATGCATATAAGTTCTTTAGTTAATCTCTTCCCGCCTCCCTCTCCCGCTTCCCTCTGAGATTCGTCAGTCTGGGCCATGTTTCCATGCCACTGGTTCTATTTTATTCATCAGTTTATTTTGTTCATTAGATTTCACATATAAGTGAGATCAAGTGATAGTTTGTCTTTCTCTGACTGGCTTATTTCACTTAGCATAATAATCTACAGGTCCGTCCATGCTGTCTCAAAGGGTAATAGATCCTTCTTTTTTATAGCTACATAGTATTCCATTGTATAAATGTACCAGTTTTTTTTATCCCTCCATAACATATCTTTAAATGCAAGAGTAACATGCCTTTAAAATGTAAGCGTAATCTTCATTTCCAGACCCCTCAAGGCACAACCACTGCACCAGAGCACAAGACCACAGAACAAACCCCTCATCATTATCTCATTCTCCACACACCATCTCTCTATGTGCTATAAATGTTAATTAACTAACCTGTACCCACCAAAGTAACAGAAGTATGTGTTTCTCGATTTAGCCTTTTATCCAATCCCAAAGATTTCTCTGCTTTGCTTTCTCCTGTCCCCTAAATCTACCACCAGTGGATTTCATGTAAACTTCTTTAAGGCTCCTCCTTTGATTCTAATGTATAAAATAAGCTGGAAATCTGCCATTTTCCAGAGCATTTTTTCAATCAGTTGAGGTTTTACTTCCCAGCAATAGTCATCAGTTTGGCTCAAACTCATAAAAATTCTCTATAGGTTTGGATGTTTCTTACATCAACATCTACTAAACAAAACAAGAAAACATATACTCAGAGCAAAATATCTTTGCCTGTGTACCGATGACCTACCTGTGTATCTGTGCATATGTAGTATTATTTTTTTCATTTAAATCAATATTGGCCCATCAAACGGGCACAAATCCATTACCACCCAGATGCAGGTTCTACAGAACTGTATGCACATTGTTGCTGTTACATCCACTCCCACAAGCGCTTCAAATTAGGTAAAGATAATTCGGTACAGGAAATCATTTTAGTAAGGTTGTTGAAAGCAATATTTCAAATGTTTGGTTATGTTTTTTAAATCCAAAAGAAAACCATTTCCTGATTTCCTACTCAGCATGACAAAGAGCCTGCTTCACAGTACCTAGTTCAAAAATCAGGAAGCACTAAAACAAATTTCCTAGTGTTATCACTATTCCTAAGACTCTGACTTCTATTGTTCAAAACAACAAAAGGCACTTTCCAGGAAAGTTAACTGTAGATAAAGAATGACTTGTATTTATGTAATTCACAAGTTACAAGAGAGCAAAACAATGTGTTTTTCATAATACAACAACCACAGTAGTTTCTTTACTGGGTAAACTTAACCTAGTTGTAAAATAAAACCAGGCATACTTCAGAGATACTGCCGGTTTGGTTCCAGACCCCTGGAATAAAGCA